CTAGTAAGGTCTGGTGAACATGTGACAAATGACCATCAATTGTCTCCAATGAGCGCTTAATCAACTCGCATGACAGCGTACTTCGATATGCATTCAGAACAGCTGGCTTAGTCAGTTGGCTGGTGTCAATGTGTTCACAGAGTCGTCGTAAGTGTCCGCCAAAACGCATCCGCATGTCAGCACCTACAAGTGCATGATCGGTGTCCACACCTGTGCTCCAAATCGAGCGACAGTTCTGGACGCAGCCTCTCCAGCGGTAACTGATTGCAATGTGATCGATCTGCGTCCATAGCTGCTTCGAGGCTGGTGGGCGCCAAGTCACCCTCCTGCGGGTGCTGTGTCGGAAGTTAGTGCCCGCAAGAATTAAGCGGGCATCTTCACACAAATGAAGTAACCGCTACCAGTTATCATTGAGGGAGCCTACACCGTGCTGACCGCCCAGATGCATTTCATCAGTGGACAACTTTCCAACTTGTGCGTTCAGATTCCCCGCCAGCACAAGTGTGTCCGTGCTTCTTCTGTGGCGAAAGAGCTGGGTCAGTTGATAGTAGAGGTCGTTCTTTACCGAATCATGGGCACGTAGGCAGCGATAACGAATAGACACCTATTAGTCCCGCGCGACTTCGAAGCTTTGAACGAGCCAGCCAATCGGATCGCACACAACCGGTCACTGAGTGGAATCCAGTCAACCAGAGCACCTTCATCCCAGGGACTCAGGGCAATGCCAACACCGGCTTGGCCGGTGCTCGAAGCTGCATTGTCGCCGGATAGGATGGTTGGAGGATGGAGACAATGGGTTACGGAACCTCCTGTTTGTTAGCGTACTTGATTTAATACTTACACTAGGAAACACCGACGCAAAGCTCGCTCTGGCTATGCTCCCAGGTAGTGACCACAATACATTACAATTCATTTGCAATATCAGATGCTAAACAGGACGTGACTCCACAAAATATTTCATCCAAAGAATTAATTAGACACCTCCAACATTTGATTCGATCTGCCAACTCGGATACATTTTTCCTATCTACAAATGTTCTAAACTAAGATCCACTGTGCCATAACCCATCTTAGTACACAAAGTGAACGTGTCGCCTACGGCTCTAAGGATGCAAAAGAACGTTTACTCACCTAGAAGAGGCGTAAACTGTTGGTAAGGTTTCACAACACCGGAGACATTTCAGCAATATTGCAAGTGTACGAATGAACCACTAGGGTTAAATATGCACAAGTGATACGACTTTAAGAGTGAGGAAGAAAATGCTCTACGAACAGGTAATAAAACATGAAAACTCGTCACTATTCTTCGTCATAGAACCAGCAACAGCTGTTCTCCTTTCACGGGACTGTTAGGTGAACATGGTAAATCTTTGAGTGGCCCACTTGACATTTGTGTGGCGTCTAGCGCGTTTTTTGCTGCCTCCATAATTTCTGAATTTGACCCCATACCTGAATGCCTTCAATCCGGTATAAGCAAAAATCTAAGCAATGTCGAAATTTCTCTCAGCACACTATTCAGCGGTAAATGAAAACCATCAAACCTTCTCTCAGAGGGGACTCCGACGGCAGCACTTCAACTACTATAAAAATCGGACGGTCAGACTTACCACTACATTTGTTGAACATGTTTACTGCATCGCTACAAAAAACAAGCTACGTCTCTGATCATTGAAAAACATGATTCATCAACATACGTCACAAAAGTGATCTCAAGCAAAAAGGTTACCAATTACAGACCGATTCATCATACACCTACTATAGCCATTCTGTTTGAAAGATTAGTCAATAAAACGTTGAGTGAGCTCCTTAATTTCCCGAACCTGTTTAACATGAGTTGCCAGCTACACTACCATAGCTCCACTTCAGAATCTGTGGACTCCGGTTGTGCAATAGTAATGTTGTTTTTGGACGTAGAAAAAGCATTTGACCGCGTACAACACAAGCGGTTTTGGAAAAAAGGTTGAAGCTTTTGGAATCCAGAACCCGCTTTTAAGTTGGCTTTCCTCCTACCTTGGCAATCGGTGGCAAATAGTCACTTTGGGTGATCACCAATCTTCGCCTCGTTCAATAACCAGCAGCGTCGTCCAAGGAACTGTAGTTAGCCCATTGCTTTTTCTCCTCTACATCAATGATATTGGCAACTCCATCAAAAATGGCCAACCTTTTTCTATTCGCTGGTGAGATTAAGATTGTTTATAAACTCCGGCGTGATATGCTTCATAGCACATTAGTTTAAATTCAAGAAGATCTTCTGAGATGAGGCTGATAAAATTCGCAATCGACAAATCAAACATTATGTCATGTGGTTGCTCGATCCCCGATGGGTCAATTAAACTTAACAACGAAAGTATGCCCATACGGTCGTTTAGCAGTGATCTTGGGATCCGATATTCTTCCGACTTCCGGTTTTCTGAACAAGCCCAATAGCAAATAGCTCGCGGGCCAAACAATCCGTGGTTAACATATGCCACAAAATACAAAATACAATCCGTGACAGATTGAAGTATTTAGTACCCTCACTCGTCTTATTTTCGAATACCGCAAGTTCATCTGTGGCAACATGCGGAAACTAGACAGAAAAGCCATAGAAAAGTTACAGAGGTCAATCACCAAATGTCTGTTCAACAGTACATCCACTCTAAACTATCGCGAACGTTGCAAACAGCTTCACATCGAGCCTCTCTGGATGCGACGTCTAAAGCAAAACTTGTTGCTCCTACACAATCTGTTGCACCAGAAAACGGACTTTTACCTTCATAACTTAAACACAATAACAATCACAAGCTGCGTAACTAAAAAAGTACGCTACGGATACCAAGGGTTAGGACAACCATGCAGGCCAACTCTTTCCACATTAGATACGCCGTCCTGTGGAAGTGTCTACCAGTCGTGTGAAAGCCCCACGTTATTCTACACCAAACTCGACAGATTCTTAGCTCTAGAAGTGTTATAATCCATGTTCTAATCTGACAACTCACCTGAAGAACTATACCAAGATGGCCCAAAAGATATCCAAATGGCTAAAAATAGGCATCAACCTGCACTAATGCAAGAGCAGGATCATTTCTGTACATACTGATCTGTACCTAATTTAGGAACAGTTTCTCACACTTTCCATATATATATATATATATATATATATATATATATATATATATATAGGCACTGTGATTCCTAAGGTGCGCTAGACGGAGACAATATTCTTGGCTTGTTTGATACGCCTACTCTGAAGGGAGTTCTCAGGAAACGTGTGAATACTTTACGTGCCGGAAAAACTCGTGTTGCTTCAGAGTGTAGGAGGAATTGCGGAAGATCTTTCGACAACTATTGGCGTTCATCAACGCTGTCTATTCATTCAATTTTACCGTTGACTCAATCGTGGAGTGTTCTCTTGTGCAGTGTAGTTATCCAGGCGTTGTGGTCATGTTTGAAGGCGACTTATCGGAAGGTCTTGCATTCCCGCTTGACATTTACGAGGCGATGCAAGCAATCTTGAGTACTTTTAAATAATCCCACAGTGTGATCGGAAGACAGGGTAAATGAACATGTGTTTTCGATAATCCATGTTCAGGCTCATACAACTATAAGCGAAGCAAAATATGCACAGACATTACAAGCCTCTACTGTTGGAGCGAGTTAATTGGACACTGACATTGCTGTCTGTTAAGTTACGACAACTGACTGCCTATGACCTCGCAGGTCAGAGGTCACCAGATCAGAGGTCACCGATCCATACGACCGGATCGCAATTACCTCAGAGGCTTTAAACCATTCGTCGGGGCCTGATAGATATTTCTGAATCAGCTGACTTTGTGGCGTGCCCAGTGTCGGCCAGATGCGTGAAACTTGAAGAGTGGCTGTTTTCCCGTTTCCAGTTCTAAGCCCAACCGGGTGGTGTTCCTTCACTCACCCAGATAGACGCCTTGTCGTACGACCAATGTATTCCGCTTCAAAGGATGATGAAAATGAACAAATACACAGTCAGTTGATGTGGAGTAGACTTTCCGGTGACCCCATCTTTCGGTACATACTTTGCATCTTCGCAGTGAGAGCTATTTTGAAAGATCAACAACCGCCCATTTACTAAGTAACACCGCTCCCGATGCGTCACGATAGGGTGAGCCGTGTGACCAGTAGTTTGGGACAAGGGCAAGTGCACAAAAATGGCAAAGCTGAATCACAAACAGCCGATCATAGGGGTTGAAACAGGGTGGTGTGAGAGATGACCTTATTGTGCCTTTCTGTGTACATGTTCAGCACCAACCTCACGGCAAAAGGAAACAGCAGATGGTTATAAAATTTGCGCAGATGATGACAGACACATCGCTGTTGATGACTGATGAATAAAAAGGCATTAAATAGTACGTCGATACACCGTATCAGTCGAGCATGGACTGGATGTACCGTGTGGTGGCCCGGACCTACACGGATTCGAACAGGTCACCCACGGATTACAAGGCAAGCGTGTTATCATTTCGGTCAAGTGCCGAAAACTACAGTAGTGCACACAGCTGGACGGTGTGCACCACGTCCCTTCGAGATAGGAGCAGAGAGTGCAAAGGTGTGATTGATTGGCACTGGACGATGAATATGTGCAACACACAAGTGAGACGTAGCACCAGGCAATGAGGCAAGCTGACCAGCAGTATCGACGTGACTTATCGGTTGCAACATACTGCCACACCACACGTCATGACAAATGATCCTTTGAACATCTAGGAACATCAGGGGTTTCCACAACCAAGCTGTGCATCAGTGGTAGAACATCACCTTACCGCCCTACAGGTATTGCAGATATAGAGAACACCGTAGCTTCGGCACCTCGGGAGTAAATCGAACAGAGTTGAGTTAGATAAAAAAAAGTCAGGCGGAGAAAGTCGAATAGCCAGTGCGACTCTAAAACCCACCAGGTTGCTTGCGAGAGAAGTGAGCTCAAACAAGCACAAGAGCAAACAGTGGAAACATGCTGATAGATTTCCATTCACATCCAGATGACTCACCTTGAAAAACATCTCCACATAATGTAGCAGATAAATGCCACAGTCGACTAGGTTACTTTGACTCGGCACGCGAGGGCTGAATCCGCGGATGGTGTCTTTGTTGAAATACAGTGGCCCGTCTTGCTCACAGCGTCGCATATTCCATTCCACTTGCAGATAACTGTAATGGAGAGCGAGATGGTGGTTGACTGCACACTAACAAGAAAAAAAACAAGAAAGTTCTGAAATGACATCTATCGGGTGGGAAACCATCCTCATCCACCTCCTCCTCCTCCTCCTCCTCATCATCATCATCATAATCATCGGTGTACTCTCACGCTACGACCTAAAGTCAATGGACAACAAGGATAGGCTTTACGGAAACGGCCTTCGCATGCCTCGGGCGCCCAAACGCAGCTTCAGCACTTGATCCGAGGTGATTGCCACTCGCCTCTTCATCTCAATAATACGACCAGTGCCAGAGTGTGGCTCTCTCGCGTATTATCCTATCACCCGGAACGAGGTAAAGGACTGACCGGGTACAGCATGTGACCACCAGGCTGATTCCCAATTTACAAGGTGTACCGTACGAAGACCCGTGTAAGAGACTAGGGCTTTACAACCTATCTTATGGTAGATTGCGAGTTGACCTCATCATGATGCACCGGATACTACATTACGGTGATTACCCCATGTTGAGGCCGCTGCTGCATTTGCGCACGCCAAGCAACACACAGGAGGACACCGGTACAAGCTTGTAGTACTGTAGTTGAAGCGGGTCGCCAGAGGGACAAGGAAACTCACAACACAAACGCCACTGAGATGCACTTTTCGGCATGTCAACAAGTGTATACAACGAAACGTGCTATCGTTGTTCGGGCCCTATCCCACCGACGCGAAGTCCGAAGTGACGGATTTCATACCTCTTGTTCAATTCAGCGCTTGGTCTTCCCTCCGTCTCTTCCATCCAGACACGGTCGCGCAAACAACGCATGTCGCGGCGGGAGTCAGTGTGCAGGCATGCGCAACACGTGGCTCAGCTATCGGAACCTGGTGCGTGACATAACAATGCTAAGCAGTTCATTCGCTCTGCCCGCATCAAATACGCGACGCCAAGCAGGCTTATTGCTCACGTATTGTTCCAACCAGATACGAGGTAAACTACGAAAGTAGCGATGGTCGAACCTAGCTAGATTACATGTCTGCTGGCCTGATGGGCCGGGTTTCAGGAGGGTTGAAGACATGGCTGCCATGTGAAGTTTTCGCATCAGAGCGAAAGTGATGTTGCGCCGAAGGTGGCGGAGATTGAATAAATAAATAAATAAATTTGTATATTTACCGACGGACGGTACACGGCCCCATAAGTGGGAGCGATCATTTGTATAGTGAACACGTTTCATAACATCAAAAAAGGTTTATTGATAGCATTTCCCATCATGATTACTTTTCGTTGAGTCCTAGACCCGCGCAACTCATATGTAAAATTTACGGATGTTTGTATCGTCAGGAGTAGATAATAAAGGAAGGGACTATTAGGCTGCAAAGACACAGGATTTGGTATGGTATGTAATGACATGTAGTGGGTAAACTAGCTGTGAGCTATTATCATATGTTTTTTTATACCAACTTCTGTCAATATTTCTAGTGTTTGTTGTGAGTCAAATATCTTCAAAGCATTTGGTATAGTGAGGAAGGTCTGAAGGAGATTTCGAAACGTGACATGGCTTGTACACATGCGTATCTGTAGGGGTAGTTTGTTCCACAGATAAGTGTATCTCACTAAAAAGAAATTCGACCGAATTTTATGACTTGAAAGGTTTGTATGTATCAAGTATCCGCCATTACGTGTGGGGTAGACTGCAATCTTCCGTAGTTCAAGTGCGGTGCTGTCTGCGTAAATTCGTTGGTTTATAATGTTGTAGAAGAGAACGAGGTTGTTCTTTAAGCGTCTCAGCCAAAGTGGATCCAGCTGGAGTTTTCGACAGCGATCGTAATAAGTCAGGTTTGAGCAGCGCCCCATGACCAGCTTGGTAAATGATCGTTGGACATTTTCTAGAGCCGTTCTGTCTTTCTTTCTTAATTGGCTGTGAACGATAGTACAATATTCCAGAGTCGGTCGGACAATTGTCTTGAATGATTCAAGTCGTACTTCAGGTAGGGAGAAAGTTGTGGTGATATATCCGCATAGCTGCCTTGCTTTCGCAACCTGATAAAGAACATGTTCGGAGAAATTGAAAGAGTTGGAGTACCTAATTCCTAAGTCCCGAACTGAATCAGACGTTGGGATCACGTTTCCAGCAAGTATAATGGAGCCTTATGGGATGCGGCATCTGTACCCAAGTACTTGCGATTTCACTGTGGAGAACTTCATTAATAAACGCTCACTAGCTATATTTAGTGCGGATAGGTCTTCACAGATGTTCCCCAAACACATATGTAGTTGGTCTGGATGAAATGAGTAAACCAGTTTGACATCATCTGCAAACAGAAATGGATGTCCATGTTTGATCGGGTCACATATATTGTTTACATAGATTAAGAAAAGTAGCGGTCCGAGCACACTTCCCTGGAAGACACCGCTGGTTATTGGATTCGGTGTAGAATGTTGCTGACCGATTTTAACGACCTGAGTTCGACCGTTTAGGTATGAGTCGAACCAGTTAAGCAGCGGATTTCCAATTCCATATGACTCTAGAGCAGACAGCAGTGGCTGGTGTGGCACGCGGTCGAACGCCTTTTGCATGTCCAACAGAATTATAATAATTGCCATTCCTCTGTCAATCATAGTCGTGATGTGATCAAGAAATTGTAGCTGGCATGTAACGCAGGAGCGTTTTAAGAGAAAGCCGTGCTGTGAAGGGTTGATCAGATCCAGTCTTGTAAGATATTGGACGATGTTCTTCTTGACTATTCGCTCTGGGGCTTTGGAAGCAGCAGAGGTGTGATTTATTGGGCGGTAGCTTGACATTTGATTTCTCGGTCCACCCTTGTGCTTAGGCATTATAATGGATTGCTTCCATTGAGCTGGAAAGCAGCCGGTAGTGAGTGAAAGTGTGAAAATGTTTAGTAACAATAGTGCGAGGTTTTTTCCTCCGAGTTTTATAACAGTTGGGGAGATGCCATCTGGACCTGGATGAGTTGATGGTTTTATGGCTGCGATGGTACTTTGCACCTCTCTTAACGTCACAGGGATATTGCAGTATAGTTCGGTCGTTCTTTTTGGAAGTGGAGGATGAAGTGGCTGAATGTTGGGGACAAAAGAGGAGGCAAAACTAGAGTTCATGGCCTCGCATATACAGAAGATGTCACACGTTATTGAACCATCGTCTAGAGCCAACGTTTCAATTTCCTGAAGTGGTTTAGGGTTTCTTCTTTTGAGTAGTAGCATCAATGCACGTACTTTCTCAGGATTTCTGAGTACCCGACTTTCTTCTTTGGTTTTGACCGTTAGGGTTAGACGTTGTAAATATAGTAAGTTCTCGTGTATTTGTAGCAATGTTGCGAAGCTGTTGTTCCTGCTGTATAGCGATTTGAGTTTCTTAGTTCTATTTTGGCTTTGGACAGAAGCTTGAGTTCACCCCTATGTTCATGGGTATTTCTCCTTACAGTAGGTGCTAGTAGATCCACAACAAGGGCAATATTGTTTATAAACTCATTTGTAGCCACAATAGGGTTGTGGGTTAGGCATGACGTATTCCAATTCATGGCACTGATAAGTTAATTAAATGCGTTCCAGTCCACAAGATGGAGGTTGCGAATGGGTTTTAGCATTTTACTTGATCGTTTAGGTAAATCAATAGTTATATCACAAAGCACCGTGTTGTGATCACAGCCAGGTAGTGGATTATCAATGAATGTATAGGCGTTCGCGATTCCCATCGTGAATACAAGGTCTAAGGTAGTAGCACTTCTAGTTGGCTCTCTAACATGCTGAGTCCAGCCATTGAGGTGGATACATGCGATAATTTCCTCAATCACCGCCGTGTTTCTGAGTGTAGGCAGCGTCCAGTTAACATGTGGTAGGTTGAAATCTCCACACATAATTTTGGATTTGTATGTGGTGCTGGAAGCAAAATTGATCATATCGATTAGCTTTTGGGTTGCAAATTGAGTAGTTCGAGGCAGGCCGATAGATACAACCCACTAGAAGATCAATAGATGGGATCACTAGCCATAGTGTATCTTCTAAGTCAATGAACACAGGTTGATCTGCGGGAATGGCAGTCAGGTTATTTCGAAGATATATGGCAAAAATGTCTCGAGATTTTGATATACACTTCGTGAACTCATCTTTCATACCACTGGCGCTATTACAGCTATCTAGATAGTCTAATTTCCGGTGGGAAGCACGATGTGTGGAACAAAAGAAACTAGGGGCGATCAATTTCCCAGGACGATGGTATCTCAACAGGCGTCGCTTTTCCAAGGATAAATGCATTCGGACACAAATGTGCAGTGTTCAACAACAGTGATGCCTGAAACTGTCCGTTCAAAAATGTTAACGGATGGTGATGTAAGTTGGGTAGAAATTGATTGTTTCATTCGATAGCAAATGGTTGTTTGGCGCATAGCAACAGTGGGCGAACAAATGCGTCGTGTGACGGAGGCCATGGTGAAAAAAGCAACCGACTACGGAATAGGTGGATAATGGCGGACGACAATGAAACAAACTGGGAGTTTTGTGTGCAATGGCAATAGCACCCCAAAAAAGGAAACCATGCAACTGACCTCATCAAGGCCAACGTAGACTGTACTTAACAAATGGATACAACCATTCGGCAAACACCAATCGCATCAGCAGATACAGAGACAAACAAGCATAAGTATTAAACAGAATACGTGTACTGATGGTCACAAGGGCTTACTCTCTGATCACGTGCAAATTGGTCACACGAGTTTGACAGGGAAGCGAATCGAAGAGGAGAATGCAAGGCCTGCCGAAAGAGTGGAGAAATCAACAATAGTGTTTACACGGAGGATTTTAAACATAACTGTAAATAAGATAGCACACAGTTATTACTGCTTTGGTAACGTGGAAGACGCTTTGGTAAATGCCTAATGACAGCATGGGGACAATAATATCAAATGATCGAGTTTTGTAATTCAAATGGAAGCACCATAACACCCGGTGATCTACTAATGGAACTTGACAGACCAACGTATGTGAAAGTGGAACGCAGCCCTCCATTCCATTTGGTTCACTCGACAAAGACTTCCCATGAGTCTATGAAAGCAAAAACGCATCGATAGGCTGAACAGTTCACGTTCATCTGTAACTTCATCGAAATAAAGCTTGCATCTCATATTTTTCTACTCCCTCTCACACCTATTTGTGGATTTCACGGTTCACTGTAAATGCTTAAGGCCGATCGCATTCTATCCTGCCTCTTCGCTCCGAGGGCGTGCTACGTACAAGTGTCACTAAGGTCCATAATTAAGAGACAAGAATGAAATCCACGCAATCACGTAGTCGTTTTCTCCTCCTGTATTCAGCCTATTTTCTAGCACTAGTTCGTCACTTTTTATCAAATAATAGAGATTGGTCCCCACCTCAGTGATATTCTCAACAGATGGCGTGCCCATTTCACACGAGAAATATCGAAGTTTGGGTTTGTCATAAGATAAACCAATATCCTTCGTCGTGGCTTTCCTGCACTGTTGTAAATGAACACTATAATCATTGTTTCCGTTTTTGAGTATGAGGTAATTCTATAAAGTAGTGTAGACTGGATACAAGACATATGAACTGCCTGAAATCCAGGCATCAGTTGTTTCCATCGAAGTTGAACCTGAAAGCGCGTTTCCGTTTTCTGGAATGCCGAAAGAATGGATATTGTTGGAGGAGCAAGAAAAATACTGGTATCCTTGTGCAGTCGTTCATGACTGCAGACTTTTGTTCTGCTATGGAGGTTTATCAATGTTTGTTTTAACGCATCATTTCGCCATCCCTATTGGTTATTTGGAGCCGTTATTTTTGCCTTCAGATTGCAGTCATAATCTGACGCTATCACTCTTACTTTACGTCCTCCGTGTGCACTTGATTGGTTCCGCATGTGTTCCGTTCTTATTGGCTATAATGGTCCGCATGCTTTCCGTACGCTGGTTGGCTTTCATGTTTGTGCCTATATAACGAAGCGGTTTCCCTATGTAAAAGAACCCTTGAATCTCTGTCCCCGGTCGCTCGTGTTCTCACTACCGTTAGTGGGTGAAAAGCAGTCGCGCGGGCCCCGACACAACAGAAATGGAGCACACTAATGTTCGAAATAATTTGGAACACTGGTAGCCCGGCTTGGTTGCTCCCCTGTTGATCGTTTTTCCGAGCTTGATTAAGAAATCGCATACGTTTCACCACCATGCGAGGTGGCATCTTCAGTGCAGTAATACGCAGTGTGTAATGCTGCTTAGTGAATTGTCAGTCCGTCATCCACGGGCAGGTGACTTTTGAAGGTGGCGATTTCGATTTGTGCCACGTGATCTCTGCCCATTTGCTTCCACGGCTGAACCAGGTCTTGCGATTCGCCGGAGATCTTTCTTTCGGAGTTGATGGTACACGGGGTCAATGTCGATGCGCATGTTGATCGAATTATTAGAGGAGTACCATGCTTCTAGGAACTCTCTTCCTTTCTGTGTTGTTGATTGAGCTAAAATCACTGTTTGGTTCCAATTGAAGCTATGTCCCTCCTCAACTACATGCGCTGAGACAAGAGACGATGCATAATGTTTTTACAAGCCCTCTGATGCTCTTGTATTCTTGTGGATAATTTCCTTCCTGTCTGCCCCACATAGTTCATTTCACAATTATTGCAATTTATTTTATACACGACATTTGTTCGTTCTTGTGCATTCCTAATATCCTTTGGGTTTGATAGTATTCTTCGCAAAGTAGCGGTTGGCTTATGAGCGACCACGATGTTGTATTGTTTGAGCAATCTGGCAGTCATTTCAGATATGTTCTTCATATACGGCAAAACGACCCTCTTGCTTGCATTTGGGATCGGCTCGGCGTTCATAAATTTATGGTTTAGACATCTGCGGATGAAGCTGTGTGGGTAGCCATTGCGCTCGAACGAATCGAATAGGTGTTTCTGTTCTTCCCGTTTGGCTTCCACTGTGCTGCAGTGTGTTTCAATCCTGCGAAATAGTGTCCACACGCAACTTATTTTGTGGCACTATGGGTGATTGCTATAGAAGTTCAAAATTTGATCCGTATGTGTCCCTTTCCTGTGAACGGATGTTTGCAATTCACCATCGTTTGTTCTGGTCACCAACACATCCAAGAATGGGAGCATGTTTTCTGCCACTAACTCCATTGTAATCTGAATCCCATTCATTGCATTGTTGAGCAGTTGGTGTGCGATTGCTACTTCACTGCGTTTCAGTATTACAAATGTGTCGGCCGGTGGCCGAGTGGTCTGCACATTTGCTTTGCAGCCATAAGGTTACCGGTTCGAATACGCGTAGGGGTGGGCGTCCTCGCGGTATAATCAGCCCGCGCGCGACTGTTGGTGGTCGCGCGGCAGCGAAGCGCCGTTACGGCGTACAGCTGACACATTACATTAGTATTACAAATGTATCGTCAACATAGCGTACCCACAACTTCGGGTTAATAGCTGGTAGTAGATCTTCTTCCAACTTTTGCATGACGATCTCAGCGATCAGACCTGATATTGGTGATCCCATCGGTGCCCCTTTCACTTGCTCGTAGATCTCTCCGTTGAATGAGAAGTAAGTTGTTAGGCATAGTTGGAGAAGCTTGCAAATGCTTGCAGTCGTCATACTCCCAATTTTCTCATCTCTGTTGTTCAGGCGTTCTATGATGGCTTCTTTTTGCCAGTTGCAAATTGACAGATGTAAATAAAGCGGTGACGTCGAAAGAGACCATCGTTTCGTCATGATCTATATGCAGGTTCTTGAGCTCCTCTAGAAATTGCTCGGAGTTGTTTACGGAGTGCTGCGAACCGTTGAGTAGATGTTTGAGGCGCCTCCACAATTCTTTTGCCAGGTTGTAGGTGGGTGTACCTGGAAGTGAAACAATTGGCCGCAACGGAGCACCCTCTTTGTGTACTTTTGGGAGCCCGTAGAATTGGGCGATGTTCGAGTCACGGGCTCTCATTTTATTCCTTTCAATTTCTGTAATTTCTTTCAACTGTTGTAGTTCATGCAATGTTTTGTTTATTTGGTTTGTTAGCTGCGATGTCGGATCGTAATTAATGCGACTGTATGTGCTTGTATCGTTCAGAAGTCGTTTTGCCTTCTCAATATAGTCTACCTTATCCATTATGACTGTCATACGTCCTTTGTCTGCAGGAAGGATAACAATTGACTCGTCGGATCTCAGGGCTTTCATTGCTTCGTGCTCTTGTCGAGATAGGACATTGTATTGCTTTACATGTGTCATGGCAAGGACGATTGTGTGTCGGATTTGCTCCTGAATCTCTTCTCCAAGTCCATTTGACCGTAGAGCGTTTTCAAATACCGCTGAAAACTCCGTGGTTGCCGCGTCTTTGATATTGTAGTTTAACCGTTTGGTGAGTATCTGTTGCTCTGTCTCACTGAGCGGTCGTTTAGAAAGGTTCCTGATCCAGCGATCGTTGTCAACTCCGTATTGGCAGGTGGTCAATTTTGACATCTTTCCATGAAGCGCGGCCTGCTTCTTCATTCCGGCGTTGTTTGCTCTGCGTTCGATTGCCAACTGTAATTGTTCTGTCAGTTGTTGTCCCACGATTTTCAAACAATTGGCTCGCTCTACATCCAGACATCTTTCATATTTCTTGATACGATTATGAGCGTCCGTGATCATTATTCGTACCATGCGTTTTCCGAACTGACGTGCAACATCCCAAGCTCTGGGATGGTTTAGCGGCGGTCTGTAGTTGACACTGCGAGGAAGAATGTCTCTTCGTAAACATTCATGGAGGAAGGATAGCTGCTGCCTTGTAGAGGCTTGCCGGCAAGCAAAATCATCCCAACGGCGAGCAGAGCGTAGCGTTGAGCGCCCGTAAGTATTCGAAATAATTTGGAACACTGGTAGCCCGGCTTGGTTGCTCACCTGTTGATCGTTTTTCCGAGCTTGATTAAGAAATCGCATACGTTTCACCACCATGCGAGGTGGCATCTTCAGTGCAGTAATAGGCAGTGTGTAATGCTGCTTAGTGAATTGTCAGTCCGTCATCCACGGGCAGGTGACTTTTGAAGGTGGCGATTTCGATTTGTGCCACGTGATCTCTGCCCATTTGCTTCCACGGCTGAACCAGGTCTTGCGATTCGCCGGAGATCTTTCTTTCGGAGTTGATGGTACACGGGGTCAATGTCGATGCGCATGTTGATCGAATTATTAGAGGAGTACCATGCTTCTAGGAACTCTCTTCCTTTCTGTGTTGTTGTTTGAGCTAAAATCACTGTTAATTCATTCTGTATGTAAACCCTCTTCATTCATGGAAGATCATGCAAAACCCGATTTATCCTCCCCACCACAGTGAGCGCGGTCTTGTTTGGTCGAGAAAATTGTAATTATCCTTACTGTCAGGAGTCCGTTATCCCGGGGACGAAACATACACCAGAGGTGCTCAACCATGAAATGCATAGTTCATTTTGATGCGAGGGTAAGTTTAGTGCAGGAGAGCGCACACGACAAATCTCACGTGGTCATTGTGCAAAAATGGAGTGGCATACACGGTAAATGGTCAGGGCGGTTAGATCATTCCACACGACCTTAACGTCAGCACACGTATAAAAAAGTACGAGATGACTGTTCTTCACGGACTTAGAATCAGTGTTCACACTTTTGTTGACGGCTGCTATGAGGTCATTAAACGTGAACTCAGTCGCATACCTCATTATACACGTTAGCTAGGGATGGAAAACACTTCAGCGATTGTTCCGTAACACATGAAAGCAAGAGACACAAGAAAGGCAAGTCAGCTGAGCCACTGGT